ATCTGTGATTCAACGGAAGTGGCAGTGCACAAAGATCACTGAATCCGGAAGTCATATACGTATCAGCGTGATAATCCCCTATTGTATATTTTTAAGAAAGAAAAACATGCAAATGTGATGTTTTTTAAAGGACTAGTTCACCCAAAACTGAAAATGTTGTGACGAATTACTATAATAATGAATCATTCATGGTTGATCTGATTCACAAAACCAGCCTGAATGATTCGTTCCCAAATCCGACTGATCCAGTTCTCAAGTTCTAACTGGATTGGAAGATTATCAGTGAATAATAACTTCAATTTTGGTCTGTTTGTTACACAAAGCTATTGTATGTCTTCAGAAGACTGTGGTCACATTTTAGATTAGGGTCCAATTCTAATACTAATTATTAGACTAATTATATAGACTAATACTATAATTAACCGTTTACTACGAATTTTGCCTCATTAAACTCCTAATTTACTGCTTATTAATAGTTACTGATATAGTTGTTAAATTTGGGTAGGGTAAGATTAGGGAATGTAGAATATGATCATGCAGAGCAAGTCATTAAGGGGGTCATAAACTGGCTTTTTAAATTTTATTATATTGTTGTTGTCTGAGGAATAGGAATCCAGGGGAATATGCAGCGACTGTCTTCCACAACCAGGCACTGCACAATATTGTATTGCTCAGTAGCTCGAGCCGTATTGTCATCACGACTCATGAGGTAGGCATCTATGTTATTTACTTATGCGCGTAATGTGCAAATCGGTGGGCGGGGCTAAACCGGCCATGTTGAAGTAGGCGTTGATCTTCTTCTGTAGGGGTGGTGTTTTATCCTCTTTGACGTCATTCCCCACTTTTAAAAACGAGTCGTTTGCAGAGGCTGGTGTCAATAAAAGCTTTTATTGGACTAACATGGACGTTTTCAGTTCTGAAACTTACAGGATATTCTTATAACATGATGACCTCTTAGATGTCAAAAGCTCAAGGAAAATTTGATTTCTCAGTTCATCACCCCTTTAATACGTGCTTTATACAGTAAGTACTAACAAAGCCAATATCCTAGTAATAAACCTGCTAATAAGCAAGTAGTTAGTTAGAACTGGACCATAAACTAAAGTGTAACCAAGACTTTATTTTTTTCTGTACACCTCCCATTTTTAAAGCAAGTGGAACATCCCAGCAAACCATCAGTATTCACTTAGCTACAGGAAATGAGTCTTTGATGCTGTTGTAAAGTTGTCTCTCTGAATCTCGTAGTGGTCACAAAGTGTTCACTTGAGGGTCCATCCTCTTTCCTGTCAGATTCAGATAGGCCCTCTGATCAACTTATGCTAATGCTGGTCTAGAGCCCTCCACTCCCACGCCAACACAGCAATGGCTATGCAAAACAGCAGCCGGAGGGAGAGGACAAAATGCATGCATGCCTTTTTTTTCTCCATCCTTCTTTTCCAACTCTGTCCTTACTCTCCGGGGTGTTTTTATCTTTCCTTTCACTTGACCATGTGTGCTTTTTGTTTGCTTTCTTCAGCCGACATCATTTACAGCATGTTAAAGATGAACTGTGCCCCTATTGTAGATTTTGATCAGTCATTATGAGTTCCCCTGAGAGAAATGTTATTGTGACAGTTTCCTTAGATTCCGTATCCCAGCGTACCTAGAATGACAATGGATCTATGCTGGTTGAACCACATCGGCGGCAAAGCTTGTGTGCTGGTTGGACTTCCTTGCATATTTTATTTTATTTTATTTTATTTATTTATTTATTTTTTATTTTTTTTTTGCACTAGTGCAAAGAGGACATCTTGTAAATATAGAAACAAATTTATAGTAGATGTGTATGTGGGCCCTCAGGTGAAATGCATTTCCAAAAATTATGTCATGTATATGCACAAATGTAGAAAATGTATTTGGGTTGCCTTATTAATTTGGATCATAGAAGAATGTGTATAGTGTCCTAGTTCCATGATGTTGGCTTTTAAATAATCCCAATAGGCCTTGTGTCGCCTAATTGATTGATTGGGATGGCTCCTAAAGGTCATTTTCATAAAACATTAGGAGGTGATGAACACAATGCTGTCTGTGATTGTTAACCAAGAGTTAATTTATTACAACAAGCATACTAACTATGCAGTTATACTAGATTACCTACTAAAGATGTTACAAATTCACACCATTTGGGGTAATATAATGTTTAATTGTCCACCACTATTTTGAACACCTAATTACATATAAAGCATCTCTTTTATCAAATCAGATGCCTGACCCAGTTAATGTTTCCTTTACTTCCACTTTATTGCACATATGTATTCATAATATGTAAAGAGGTCATGTATCAAAAGCTGCAAGAATAATTTTTACATTCATTACCCATTAGAGAGCTAATCTGTATCAACTTATAGCAGGTTTGAATTTATCCCACTTGAATATGAGTTGCACATCCAAAGTAATTGCTTTATTAAGGTTAAAAATGTACATTGTAACAATCCAAAAGGGGTTTTTGCTACATGTTACATTTGATATTATATTGATATTACGTATGTTACATTTTTTTATTATATTTTTGAATTATAAAAACACATTTATAATGCATGTATGGATCATTTCTTGATTTATCATAATTAATTAATTAACTAGTGAAACGTGCACGTGCAAAATCAGTCTCTGTGTTTTTAGTAATTGTTGGTTTGGTGTGCTCATTGCTGCAATTACAAAACAAAAGTTCAGTGACATTTGTATGTGTGCATAGTAGAAAGAAAATGCTGATACTGACGTAATGACATACAATAAATATGGAAAATTTAAATTCAGACAAAATGCTACTTAAGCTTCAAGGCCTGTTTACGTGTGTTAAGGCCTGTTTACGTGTGTTTTAGCCGGGTTTTCATCTGGAAGTCTCTACAGAAGTCTGGCACCCTATTGTACGAAGTTAAACTGAGAGAGTGTGCGTTCACAGACACCAGAATGAACGCGTTCACGGTAACGTTCATCAGGCAGTAATAAAGTACGTTTAGTTCACGTTTGCCCAAAATATGAATGTGTTTAGGCACAACACTGGTGGCCACGCAGTGTGCAGTGTGAGAGGAGGAGTGGCCACTGAGTGTGCAGTGTGAGAGGGGGAGTGGCCACACAGTGTGAGAGGGGGAGTGGCCACTCAGTGTGAGAGGGAGAGTGGCCACTCAGTGTGAGAGGGAGAGTGGCCACTCAGTGTGCAGTGTGAGAGGGGTAGTTGCCTCAGTGTGCAGTGTGAGAGGGGGTGTGGCCTCAGGGTGCAGTGTGAGTGGCCTCAGTGTGAGAGGGGTAGTGGCCTCAGTGTACAGTGTGAGAGGGGGAGTGGCCACTCAGTGTGCAGTGTGAGTGGCCTCAGGGTACAGTGTGAGAGGGGTAGTTGCCTCAGTGTACAGTGTGAGAGGGGGTGTGGCCTCAGTGTGCAGTGTGAGCGGCCTCATTGTGAGAAGGGTATTGGCCTCAGTGTACAGTGTGGGCAGGAGTGGCCACTCAGTGTGCCATGTGGGAGGGGGAGTGGCCACTTAGTGTGCAGTGTGAGAGGGGTAGTGGCCTCAGTGTACAGTGTGAATGGCCTCAGTGTGCAGTGTGAGAAGGGTAGTACCTCAGTGTATAGTGTGAGAGGGGGAGTGGCCTCAGTGTGCAGTATGAGAGGGGGAGTGGCCACTCAGTGTGCCATGTGGGAGGGGGAGTGGCCACTCAGTGTGCAGTGTGAGAGGGGTAGTGGCCTCAGTGTGCAGTGTGAGAAGGGGAGTGGCCTCAGTATGCATTGTGAGAGGGGGAGTGGCCTCAGTGTGCAGTGTGAGAGGGGGAGTGGCCTCAGTGTGCAGTGTGAAAGGGTAGTGGCCTCAGTGTGCAGTGTGAGAGGGGGAGTGGCCTCAGTGTGCAGTGTGAAAGGGGTAGTGGCCTCAGTGTGCAGTGTGAGAGGGGGAGTGGCCTCAGTGTGCAGTGTGAAAGGGGTAGTGGCCTCAGTGTGCAGTGTGAGAAGGGGAGTGGCCTCAGTATGCATTGTGAGAGGGGGAGTGGCCTCAGTGTGCAGTGTGAGAGGGGGAGTGGCCTCAGTGTGCGGTGTGAAAGGGGTAGTGACCTCAGTGTGCAGTGTGAGAGGGGGAGTGGCCTCAGTGTGCAGTGTGAAAGGGGTAGTGGCCTCAGTGTGCAGTGTGAGAGGGGGAGTGGCCTCAGTGTGCAGTGTGAAAGGGGTAGTGGCCTCAGTGTGTAGTGTGAGAGGGGGAGTGGCCTCAGTGTGCAGTGTGAGAGGGGGAGTGGCCTCAGTGTGCGGTGTGAAAGGGGTAGTGGCCTCAGTGTGCAGTGTGAGAGGGGGAGTGGCCTCAGTGTGCAGTGTGAAAGGGGTAGTGGCCTCAGTGTGTAGTGTGAGAGGGGGAGTGGCCTCAGTGTGCAGTGTGAGAGGGGGAGTGGCCTCAGTGTGCGGTGTGAAAGGGGTAGTGGCCTCAGTGTGCAGTGTGAGAGGGGGAGTGGCCTCAGTGTGCAGTGTGAGAAGGGGAGTGGCCTCAGTATGCATTGTGAGAGGGGGAGTGGCCTCAGTGTGCAGTGTGAGAGGGGGAGTGGCCTCAGTGTGCGGTGTGAAAGGGGTAGTGGCCTCAGTGTGCAGTGTGAGAGGGGGAGTGGCCTCAGTGTGCAGTGTGAGAGGGGGAGTGGCCTCAGTGTGTAGTGTGAGAGGGGGAGTGGCCAGCCGCTAGAGCGTCAAAGGCCAATCCCAGCTAACAAAAACACGTCCCCAGGACGTCCCCTGAACGTCCACTGCGAACGTCCCCTGAACGTCTTCGTGTAGGGTTCTTTAAACGTTCTCAGGACGTCGCAGGGGACGTTTGCGGGACGTTCACAGGACGTCGCGGGGGACGTTCGCGGGACGTTCACATGACGTCGCGGGGAACGTTTGCGGGACGTTCAGCAAACATTCGGGACTTTTCAGACTTCTATAGTGAACTTTACGTTCACTAGAAGTATTTTTAACATATTAACTACCCAAGGAACAAACACACAACAAGGAATATTAGGAAACAAAATAATTTTATTTTCATTATCAAAAAAGAGCGTGTGTGTTTGCGTGTCCGGTTGCCAGGTTCAGATGATGGCCAGTTCAACTCTGCTACTGAGCAGGGCATCAGCATGGAACGATCTAGGAACACAACAAACCATTTGTCACATAGCCAACAGTTATCTTGTTGCTGCTGAAATCACATAATTTTTCTTTTTATCAATATTTATGAACCATTAGCTAGTTCAGCCGTGTAAGTGACGTCATCGATTAACAGTAATAAAACGTAACGTTTTATGTTAAATACATACGTTTTTAGCTCACTTCCAAGCAAAATATTTAGGCTACAAAAATATCAAAACCTCTAATCAACACATAAAATGTGATTAAAAGCCCAAACATTCATAAACAAAAGCTCAAGCTATAACGTTAGCCTTACGTTAACTCTGTACATTAGCTAAACGGTTAATGGATTTTTTCGAAGACACTAACCCATTTCTATAAAGTAACGTTAAATATTAAACAGAAGCGTGCCAGTTAAAATTAAGAGAAGCGTCAAGAACAGTCGTGTGTATTATTTGTGTGATTTTACAGACTAAACTCACCTGAAAGCAGTGAAAACAGGGAGAGTCGGAGTTTGCTGTCTGCACTGGTGACCCTCCGTTTCCATGGCAACTCAACTTCACGCGCATGCCCGTTAAAACGCATCAAGTCATATATTTACAAACATAAATTAGAATTATAACCTACTTGAATAAAAATATCATTATTAAAGCATGAATCTAAAACTTATTTTAAAGCTATGACCCGTTCCTAGGATTATCACTCCGGGACAATGGCACTTTTCAGATTTTTTTATTATTGTTTTTGCGAACACTCAAGCATATCTCATTTGAACATGTGCTAAAAATGCTAATAGGCAGTATTTTTATACCACCAACACTTCATGTTTTTATGGTTTTGCACCTTAATGTCAAAGTGCACGTCCTCAAAATGTCCCCTGGCGAACGTTATAAACCGGACCAAATGCGGACGTCCTCCGAACGTCCCCCAGCGAACGTTATAAACCGGACCAAATGCGGACGTCCTCGGAATGTCCCCCAGCGAACGTTATGTACCGGACCAAATGCGGACGTCCTCGGAATGTCCCCCAGCGAACGTTATGTACCGGACCAAATGCGGACGTCCTCGGAACGTCCCCCAGCGAACGTTATGTACCGGACCAAATGCGGACGTCCTCGGAACGTCCCCCAGCGAACGTTATAAACCGGACCAAATGCGGACGTCCTCGGAACGTCCCCCAGCGAACGTTATAAACCGGACCAAATGCGGACGTCCTCCGAACGTCCCCCAGCGAACGTTATGAACCGGACCAGATCCGGACCTAATTAGACGTTCGCAACGTCCGGAGGACGTCCCCTGTTTGCTGGGATGTGTGCTTCTTTTACAGATATATTTAACAATATATTTTGCATTTCTAATCCAAACAACATCAAACTTGGCACTGCACTTACTCGTGCCCATAGCAAGACACCTGTCAAGTTTAAAATCCATCGGACTACCGGCTCGAGATATATGCGAATAATAGACACACACTGACAGACAGACCAGTGTTTCCCCTACAATGTATTCAGCAGCGGCGCAGCGCCGCCGCTGGATTTTCAGCGCCGCCGCAAAATCTTTTCATGATCAGCAATATCATGACATTCACTTCATTCACTTATACACCTAAAAACACAGACATGGCGACCGGCAGCGCTGCTAATGTGGCTCTGAATCCACTTGTTGACAAGAACGGAGGAAAGAGCCATATATGGAAATATTTTCGATTAGGCTAATGTCACGTTGCCATAAGGGGCCGTTCGTTAATTTAAATAAGCCATACGCGCTCCACTCAGAATAGAAATAGGGACTTTAAGCAACAGCCTCTGTGGAACGGCAACGGCATTCTGTCGGTCTATTGCGCATGCGCGACATTAACTGCTCCTTCGCGACGTTCTACTGTAACCGTCTACTACGGGAGAACAGCTGATTTGCCGTAGTCGTTACTACGTGACAGAATAAGAAAGTTAATGTTATGGTTTAGGTTATGTGGCATTGTAATCGTTTCTGTATATCATTAAATGCCTAAATCAACCCTTCTCTTACTTTTTAAAATCACTTTCTTTTTGTATTTAGTCTTATGATTAAATTATCCCCTATGCCGTCCTCTTTACTGTTGCTTAGTAATGTTTGCGCTCTTTAGCTACGGCAGTTAACTGTTTACTTTCGGCTGCCGTTGCCGTTCTATCAACAGCTGTTGCTTAAAGTCCCTTTGCGGTGGCGGCGCGCTCGTTTATCCAATCGCGCCTCTGTTCAAGGTTGCATAGCAACGAGAGACTCCACGGCCCGGGACAGCGAGCACTTGTGGAAAGGAGAAAGGGGTACGAACTGTTTCCATGAGCCGGACGAGGAAGTATCACCTACTGCTCATAGTCCTGATCTCTCTTCCGGCTTAATAATACCAGTCACAGCGCGAAATAAACATGAATGAGCATCTGAAAGTGTGTTAAAGATAGAGTACAACTTATCCAAATCCGTATCATGTCACATTGATTCGCTCAATCAGCGTTTCAACCGTGGAAAGACATCAGTTAAACAGCTTGTAATCAATGTCATGTATCGTCATATTTACCTCAGAAAACCCACATCAACTCGTTAGTCAGCTAGAAAAATAACTCTAGAGAGGAGCATTTTGCTAAATATATACACCATATTACATATGCATTATAATCTTAATGTTCTTCAATATTTAATGCATATTTGAATAAATCTGGCATGTTTTTATGACAGTCACCATTTAAATATTTATATAATCTTCTTATTATAAAAATAAATAAAAGTGTAATTTAAGTGTTTGTATAGCTACAAAACAGTTCATTATTACCTTCATATTAGGCTAATGAATCCTAGCAGGCTACAGGTACTACAACTAGACTCCCATAGTTTACAGCATTAGTTAAGAGATTTGATTTCCTTGAGAAAATTAGCCATTTATTGTAACTGTCTGATATCCAAAATAATTAATATTGAATCGAAACGGAATCGAAATCGAATCGAATTGCAAGCTTATGAATCGAAATCGAATCGAATTGTGAAATTTGTGTCAATACCCAGCCCTACATTCTAATATGATGATATCTGCTCTTTTTTTAAAGTTTCTTTTATTATTAAAAAATAACATCTTGTAATAGTATTTCACAATATTAGGCTACTATTTTTTCTGTATTTTTGATTAAATAAATGCAGGCTAGATGAGCATAAGGCTTCTTGCAAAAACATAAAATAGTATCACTGTCACTCACACACATCTGAAAAACCCAGAAAAATTAAGTGCTCACAAATTGGGTGTGGCCTTTGCCATTAAGAAAAAATGTTCAATAAATTGTAAATAATCTTTTTCTGGGTTGTGACGTTTCATTTTTCCCCTATCAATTTCTACATTTTAGTTTGAGTTTTAAAACTTACAGGTTATTTTTTATAGTATAACGACCTCTTAACTGTCAAAATATCATTAAAGCTACATTATGTATTTTTCTCCGCCGCTAGGGGTCGCTAACCTCTTACAATAACAAAGGCGTAGGTTTAGGACGCAGTGAATAAGCGTAATGATGGAACTTGTCATGCAGATGGATCTAATGTGTATGGAAAATGTATTTACATTTTTCAAACTCATGGTTGAAGGGGTTATTTAAAAAAAAATTCTCCCGGAGGTGCAATTCCCCAAACCGCACACCGCCCCGCCCACAGCCCCACCCCGCCCCGCCCACCGCGGCTTGGTAACAACTTCCGGCACCTAACAGCACCGCTGCTGAAAAAATTTCTAGGGGAAACACTGCAGACTGACAGACAGACAGACGGACAGACAGACGTTCCTGTAATTCATAGATAGAGTACAAAATTCTATCTATCCATCCACCCATCCATCCATCCACCCAACAAACACTAATGCCAATTGATTTTACAGTTTACATCCAATAGTTCTATTCCAGAAAGAACAGGAAAACCATGGAAATCCACAAACCCATCTTTTCCACTGCTTGTCTCAATAATGCTGCCTCTTATCTTTGGGTCTTCCAGGGTAATCAAATTTTCCTCCTGTATCTTATGACCTTTTTGCGGTGCTTTTAACCCAAACTGAGTCTCCTTAGCCTTGATAGCCATTGTTTAAATACAAATATGACAGGGGTCCAGGGGCATATTGAGAGGATAGAGATACAAGGCTAACAGCTGCACAGTAGTGCTCAATTTCATTGCTCACCCATAAACAACAACAACAACAACAAAAAAACTTTAAACGGCCTCTGCCATCTTGCCTCTGATTATTTAAGACAAAGAGACTGACCCATTCTCTCCACCCTAATCTTCCCCAGTGAATTTCGTTTCCTTTACTGTCCCTCCATTAGAAGTCTCATATTGTTCAACATCATATTAGCTCCTCTCAGCAGAGTTTACCTTGGGAATTGCGTCCATTATCTTTAGAAGATGGAAAACTATGTTTCTTTTTTGAACAAATACATTGCCTTGTCTATTCAGCTCAGGCACAAAGGCAGACACTTTACCTCCATAAGTTGAAGTGTATAAATAAAAGCAGGACTTTTTAATACTTTAGAATGGCAGCTTTTTCTTTTAAATTAATTGAGAGTTGTCAGTAAGAATATCTTTATACCTCCAATGTCTTGGCTACTTCAAGTTAGGGTTGGGTAGCATGCTGGTATACAGATTTTTTATTTATTTTTTTAACTGAAGAGAAAACTAAATGTTTGCGTGTGACATGTAGGAACTGAATTTGGGTTTGGCTTCTGGAAAGAGGTACATGAGGGTGAAGGAAATCAGCTAAATTAAAACTCCAGAGTGTATTAGCAAGCATGACGGTCCTCACAGGCGCCGCACATTGCAATGCCCCCTATTCTTGGGTTATGTAAATACCCCCTTAAATGTACTCAAAACACACAGCCCCCATTAAAAACAGCAGCTTCAAACCGTCATCAAGTCAAACCTAAATCCATTTATCCATCAGTGGTCTTGTGGGACTAGAAGCAATCATGCATCCATATATAGAAACCAGTCTAACTGCTACTAATGCTATGTACCCTCCCTCACTAAATAAACTCCAATATTACACCTGGAGCACAGCAATGCAAAACACCCAGAGGAGCAAAGCTTGTGATGTCAAGACTATCTAGTGTTTACATTCAGACGAAAGAGGGTTGTTTGAATGAAGATTAGGCTGGCATGGGAGTTGTGTAGGTACACTGTGTAGTTTTGAACCACAGGGAGGGAGAAATGGCAATTCAGGAAGTATCTGTATGCTAGTGGAACAGCGTCTCCTCTCACGGCCCATGTCTGTTTGCTGTAGGAATCTGGCCTGTTTATATTTGTCTGACTTTGATGTTGAGGTTTTTTCCCAGTGAGATCCTGAAAAGCTCCACATGTTGGTTTGTATCTGTTGCCGTATGATCATGGCAGCTCTTGTACGCCTCCACAAGTGGGCACCCACTTTACCTCAGTAAATTAATTAGCTTTGGTGCGGAAAAAAAAGCAGGTGAAAGTTCAGGGTCTGCCTGGGATGAATCGTATCAGGTCTCTCTCTCTCTCTCTCTCTCTCTCTCTCTCTCTCTCTCTGTCTGTTTTTCTCCATCTGGCTGAAGGGCAGAGTCAAACATAGAGGCTGAGAAATGAAGATGGATGTGTCCCACTATCAGGAAAGCACTTACTGCAGCTTGATGTAACCTTAAACAGTGCAGATAGTTCAGTGGCACTTGCCACAAAGAATCTAATTAATGAATAGCTGTTCTAACACAAGTGAGGTGGCGGTATGCATTTGCAGATGAGGCAGGGACACTAATTAAATGCTGTTCTAGATATCACACCAGGAGTGGTTAGCTTGTCATGT